TGGCCTGATTCTATATGTAGGGGATCTAAAAGATTCCACCAACAGACTATTGGAATTCATAAAAGAGCTTGGTACAGTGGCAAGATACAAAATTAACGCACAAAAATCATTAGCCTTTGTATACACACACAATGCCACGGCTGAAAAAGAACTTCTAAGATCATTCCCACTCACAATACTTGTAAAAAAATAAATGCCTTGGAATTAAATTTAACTAAGGCAGTCAAAGATCTCTATGATGAAAATTACAAAACATTTAAGAAAGAAATAAAAGATGACACAAAAAATAGAAAAATCCCCCATGCTCATGGATTAGAAGATTTAATGTCAAAATGCCCATATTACCAAAAGCAATTTATAGATTCAATGCAATCCCAACAAAAATAGAAATGAAGAAATGATATTATTCTCAGATCTAGAAAAATGGTACTAAAGTTCTTATGGAAAGATGAGATCCCAAATAACTAAAGTAATCTTATACAACAAAAACAAAGCTGGGGGCATAACAATATAAAATTTCAAGATATACTACAGGGCAGTTATAATGAAAACAGCCTAATACTGGCATATAAATAGGCACACAGACAAACAGAACAGAATAGAAACTCCAGAAGTCAATCCATGAATTACAACCAACTTATCTTTAACTAATGAGCTAAAAACCAGTCCCTGGAGCAAGGACAGTCTATTCAACAAATGTGTTGAGAAAACTGGATCCTTCTGTGCAGAAGTATGAAACAATTCCCCTTCCTGACACGTTACACAAAAAGCTACTCAAAATGGATCTAAGACCTAAATCTATAATCTGATACCACCAAATTACTAGAGAACATTGGGAAAACCTTGCAAGTCATTGGCATAGGCAAAAAGTTCTTGGAAAAGACTCCAGAAGCACAAGTACTCAAAGCCAAAAATTGAGAAATGGCATTGCATCAATTTGAGAAGCTTCTGCACTGCAATGAAACACTCAGCAAAGTGAGCAAGCAACTGACAGAATGGGAGAAAATATGTGCAAACTATGAAATTGATAAAGCATTAATATCCAGAATCTATAAAGAGCTCAAGAAACTCAAAAACAACAAAACAAACAATCCAGTTAAATGGGCAAAGGACTTGAACAGGCATTTTTCAAGAGAGGAAATTCAAATGGCCAAGAAACATATGAAGAAATGCTCAGGCTCACTAGCCATCAGGAAAATGCAAATCAAAACCACAATGAAGTTTAACCTCACCCCAGTCGAATGGCTCTTATACAGAAATTAACACAAAAAAGACACTGGTGAAGATGTGGGTAAATAAAGGTACCCTAATCCACTGTTGGTGGAAATGTAACTTGCTGCAACCATTGTTGAAGAGAGTATGGAGATACTTCAGAAATCTGAAATTAGATCTGCAATATGACCCAGCAATCCCCGCACCTCAGAACTTAAACAAAATGGAATCAACATACGAAAGTGTTATCTGTACCCCCATATTCATTACAGCTCAATTCACAGTAGTTTAGATATGGAATTAACCTAGAAGTCATCAGTTGATGACTGGATAAAGAAATAATTTTATATATACACTGTGGAGTACTACTCATCAACAAAAAAATGAAATCCTATCTTATGCAACCAAATGGATACAACTGAAATCCATTATACTTAGTGAAATAAGCTAGTCCCCAAAAGACAAATACCATATATTTTGCCTGATCTATCATAACTAATAGAGTACCTAAAATATTAAAATTAAATGATAAGTCAAGTATCAACACAAAATTTCCTTTTATGAATGATATTAAAGAAGTTTTTAGAGGGGCTGGCACTGTGGCGTTGCGGGTAAAGCCACCACCTGCAGTGCCGGCATCCTATTTGGGTGCCAGTTTGAGTCCCAGCTGCTCCATTTCTAATCCAGCTCTCTGCTATGGCCTGGGAAAGCAGTGGAGGATGGCCCACGTCCTTGGGCCCCTGCATTGCATGGGATACCCAAAGGAAACTCCTGGCTCCTGGCTTTGGATCCGCATAGCTCTGGCTGTTGCAGCCATCTGGGGAGTGAACCAGTGGATGGAAGACCTCTCTTTCTCTCTGCCTTCCTTCTCTCTGTGTAACTCTGACTTTTAAATAAATAAATAAACCTTTACAAAATAAATAAATAAAAATAAAAAGGTTTTTAGAAAGTTATAGACTTGGAAAAAATGCCCATAATACATATACTACATATACATACAAATCATATCTGTAATATATAAAAATGGCTTCACTGCAACTGAAATAAAAAAACATTTGGGCAAAGATCATGAAGAAACATTTCAATACAAAAGATACTTTAAATGTCATTAACATATAAATAGGTATTTATATATATAGGTAGATATTAAATGTATACATTTATCACATTATTCTAGTCACATATTATTAGCAACATAATTATATATTAAATATATTTATATAGGTATTTAATAAATATCATATTATATATAATCATTTTATATTATAGAACATATAATATATGCTAATAACATATATTCATATATTATAATAAATAGATATTATATATATACATATATATAAATAGGTACCCATCATATAGTGTTGGTAACCAAAGATAATGAGCTTAAAATTACACTAAAGTGCTTACAATAATAATAGACTGACAATACAAAAATCAGAGAAACATGAAATAATAATGTCATACATTCCTAATGGGAAAAAAATTCTATTCATTCACTTGAGAAAAATCTTTTTTTTAAAGTTGTCTGTTATGTGGAAAATATTCAACGTATTTTCAACTTTTTGAAAAATGAATGCATATAGTTACATATATACACATGTTATATACTACCTATATAATAGATATATAGCACCCAATGTACAAATGCTAATACACAATTTTATTTATTGTAAATTATTTATTTTAATGGAGAGCTGTTTTTCATATGTGCAGCCAAATTCTACGGTTACAATTAATAAACAAGATAATTTGGACATAACTATTTGTTAATATTTTTGCTTACTTTAACCAGCATCACCTATGTGAAACAATGAGTAGGCCCACCTCTACGTCATCAATGATGTATGCAATTCATTTTCTGACTCATATAATAGTTTTGAATAACAGAACAGTATTTGCTTTAGCTTTTATGTTATTTATGACGTGCTATCTATAGTTGAGACACACTTTTAACTTTAATCTGTATTAAGTAGTTTTTCCATGTCACTTTCTTATGTCCAAGCAAACCAAAAGACAACAAATCTATGCTGTTTTGCAGCATTTATCAATTGTGTAGTATAAAAATTTCACTATGTCACATATCAGATTCATGATGACTTCACTGAATGCAGAATTGTGGGGACAGAGATTTGCAATAATACACATCTTTATACAGTATATAAATACATATTTATGATATAAATAATAGTAGGCTATAGTCATTAGTGTGAGGAGTTTTGAGGACATATTCACTTTGTTTTTAATATAATTTATTTTAGAGTAATTTCATATAATTTAATTTTAATAATATGAGGGGTTAACAACCAGCTCAAAATTATCTAAATATTTAACAGGCAGTTCTAGTGAGCTGATATGAGCTTGCTCCAATTAGTCCATCTACACTGTGATAGAAATTCTACAACTGATGTACCTATGAGAAATGAAAGTAGAAGTCTGCAAAAAGACTTTTACAGATTGCTCAAAATTTTTATAGTAATAGTCCCAAAATGGAACTTGTAGGACCATGAAGAGGAGTATTCATCTACAGATTATGATGTATTCATATAATGAATACTATACAACTATACAAATAATAAATAATTGATACATGCAAAATATAAATGCATCTCTAAAATGATTGAGTAGAAAAAACTAGATATCAAAAAGTATAAGCTACCCAATGTCATATGTTCATATGCAAGCAAAGCACACACATACAGATATACATAAATCAGTGAGAATTACGAATTAGTTATAAGAAATAAAGTCTTGTGTCTCAGATCCATGACTTTATTACTATCTGTCCTAATTTATTAAAGCCATTTTACTTCTCTGTTACACAATGTGTGCATACAGAAATTCCCTTTTCAAATTCAAACTTTGCAATTGTAGAGTTAGAGATAATATTGGTATATATTTTCTATACTGGCCTATAAAAAGTATCAAAATGTTACGATATTCATCTATCCATTGTTAATAAATTTATATATTACTTTTATTTACATATTTGCTACTGTGGATGATTAAGGTTTTTATCCATATTGATACAGATGCATACTATTTATCAGGAGATGAAAAAACTGCTCAGCTAAAGCTAGACCAGATGCATACTATTATTGACTGGTGGTTATGGAGTACAAACAGATCTCTGCTTTCTGACTATTAAAATAAGTAACTGATACATTTATCCAATATATTTGTAGAAAAAATAAACTTCTTATTTCACTGAATAGATTCACATTTTCAGTGTATCCCAAAATAATTTCTATTTTTGGCTTCACTCTTGAAATGAATCTTATGTTATTAAACATTAACATCAACAAAAGTTAATTGTGTAAAAATTAAAAAACCATGATGTTCACTTAGAATTATTTTAAGTGGCTTGCAGTCCTCTGAAGAATATAGCCCTTTTTGCTCTCTCAGCTGAATTAAAAAATAATACAATGGCAAGGTTACAATTTGCTCCACTTAAGGGATGAGTGGAGAAAAAAAGATATTCATTATTGATGCATACAGAAAATATTTATGCCTGAGAGTGCTATACCAGCATTCTTATAATTGCTAAGGGCTATTTTAAATTGTACTTAAACACCAATAAAATATTTTGACATTTTACATATTTAATTTTGATGTTTTCTGCATATTATTATACTGAAATGTTTAATAGATATGAGTAAATACTAACATAAGTCACTGTTTGGTTCTGTCCTTCAGGAATAGATTTTTTTAAAATAATCACAAAATAAATTTCATTGATAATATTTATTTTATGATACAAGAAACTTATTTAAAGATATTCAGCCTACCTATTTGCTGCTTGAATTTCTTAGGAACAGGAACATTTTCATACTGCTAAGAAAAAAATACATAAATATTTTTAAAATGTTTAAGACTATGTAATCAGCCTACCAGGTTGATCCATTGTTGTTTACAGCTTTCTCGGCATTGTGCATCATTTAATAGGTTCTGAATAATTCTGTCTAACAAGACTGATATTCTCCAATTAATGCACAAATTCAAGGCCATTTCACAGTTAATGTACAATTCCAAATTACCCTTCCTAATAATCAAGAAATTAGAATTATATATTGAGATGATAAGGATGAATGAAAGAAAGAATTAAGAAAACACATGATACCAGATTGATGTGACTATTTATAGCAATAGCAGCGTGTTTTCGTTATTTGGTGATTTTTTGGCCGATTCCCGTGTATTATCAAAGCTAGAAATATGTGCACACAGCATGCTTTAGCAAGATCTGCTGCTTAGGAATTGAATTAGCTGAAGCCAGGGGAGTTCAATAGAAAGACCTCAGCAAGAGTATAGCAATAGATTCACAAGGTGTCTAGATTGGGAAGAAATAAAAAAGCGATCATTGTCAGAATCCCTCTACAAAGACAGCTTTGGTGAGTTGAACAGCTATGGATTTATAATTTTACAACTATGGTTTTATAATTTAAAAAAAATTGGATATTATTTAGCATGGAATTGTAGTCCATCCTCCCAGGATGCATATACAGTGAAAAAACTTATCTATGTTTGCTTGTATGGAAAACATAGCATAGGACCATCAGGCAAAAAGCAAAATGTTTGACACACATTGCAAGGACTGGTAATAAGTATAATAGATGACTGTAAAAAGAGATATTATTGAGATCAAGCAGTCATTATATGGAGGTTATTGTTAGTGCACTAGATTAGAAATCAAATACATATTTCTTAATGGCAAATAATGTATTTGAAAGCATTTGCCTCTTCAAGAAACCCTATCTTTTAAAAAATTGAATTTTTACTGTCAAAAGAAACTAGGCTAGAATACCTTGCCTGCCCAAATACTCAGTAAATTTGCTTTCTGTTCAGAATATCTTGTTTATGTATGAAAAAAAGGAGAGACAACTGTACATGATGGAAGAACTGTCTAAGATAATGGAAACTTTGAAAACAGATGACATTTTAATTTATGAAATTTAAACTTTGCTTTGTTGGATATAGACAAGACTATTAGGAAGCCACCAAAAATGTTCACAGGGAACAAACAAAATTCAATACTGAAATCTGAAGCTACAGGGGGAAAAAAACCATAATAAAATGATACTCTCCAACAGCTTGGCTCTCCTAAGAAAAACACAAAGAAAAATGTTTTGGAAGTTGTTCTATTTTAACTTTGCTTAAAATAAAGAATGATTGCTGGTCAGATTCATATGGTTAGTGCAATAATCAAAAAATATAACAAAACAAACAGCAGCTCATTCATTACCACTGATATATTTATCATTATCTGGTAAAAATCACCATTTTCCACATCAGTCCAAGAAAAACTAATTTTACTTTCTATACAAATATGTGAAATATTCATTCATTTGTGAGGTACTCATTACTTGATTTTTTTCAAAATAGTGCCACATTATACCTGGCAAAAATTTAATTTTATCATGTTTTCTTTATCTTCTCACTCTTTGCAATCCCCCACTGATTTTCTTTTAAAACTCTAAGGACACAGACAAAAGAAACATTTGCCAAAAAGGTGATAAACAACATTGCTGCTACTCTTTAAGTCCCCCTTTTCATAGCGCTAACTTCAGAGATTAGGGACAACTTAAAAGCAAGGTAATGGGGTCTTGTGGTATCATAGATTTCAGTGGGGTGAAAGAAAGGGTAGAAGAGGGCCTTTCAACATGCAATTGTACATCTCGCCCAATTCTTTCCCAGTTTTGCTCCACTGAAGCATCTGCTATGACTAGATGGTACTAGGGATTGCCTATGCCATAGTCATATTTTCTACAATAAAATGAAATGTACCACATTAAAATATCACAATATTATATATATATTTAATCTATATATAAAATATATGTTTGTGTGTTTAAGGAATTTATTAAGACAACAGATTCTCAGGTTCACAACAAATGCATATTTACTACAACACAGTTGTCAGTTCATGTAATATTAATACAAAGAGAAAAAATTAAGTTTAGTTCATAGATATAATTCTAATTATATGATACCTTCTCTTTCCTTCCCTCCCTCTCTCCCTTCCCTCCTTTTAGTTTTGTGATAACAAATTTTTATATGTGTGTGTGTATATTCTGTGAAGGATTATCAAAGGAGTAAACAAGTGTGTCAGAGATATGTTTGCCTTGGATTTGATCTCAGTAATAAACCAATACATGACAGAATAACAGTGCATGATAGTGTTCTCTGGAATTTTTTCTCTGGAATGTTTCATTGATACTGCACTAATGATAAAAACACCCTCGTTTCCCTATGACAACATTTGGTGTGGTTTGAAATGTAAAACAAACAGAGCAATTAGGCTCCATATTCTTTACAGATGATGAACAATTCTTTTCCAAAATATTAAATGTAGTCTCATGTGTGTATATCAATATTGTGATGTGCATAAACACAGGCACACACAATTCCTATAGTTACAACAATCAGTACATGTGTGACAAACTGGTCCACAACATAGAATTAAATTAGAATTAAGTCACCATTTAGTTGTCCTCGGTTTACATTACAAACCCCCAGATAAATAACTAAATTATCTTAGCCATTTTGAAGCATCAATTCTTTAAATAGAATGATTATTTTATGTGACAAAGAGTTTGTACACACAGGAAATATTTTTAAATGCCTCTGGCATAATACTAGCGAAAGGGTCCCTATTCTCATTTGATGGCCTATCCCCTCCCTATTTAGATTGTAAATATAATTCACTATGTACTATTACATCCAAATTCATTTTTATCTCTAATGTAGGTTGTTATTCTGGACAGATTCTATAACTTCCAAGTTGCTTGCATGTAATAAAAATGTGTCCTTCCAATTTCATATTTCAATTTCACTTCTGAATAAGATCTCTCCCTATTCACCAACTCAGGACAGAGAAAAGGGGGCTAAAATCGGGTAGAAACAGATTCTGCCCTTCAATGTCTTTCCGCATTGCCTCCTTTTATGTCTTAACATTTAACAACTGGGCAAACAGCATGCTATTAAAAATCGTATTTGACTGAACTGCAGGCTGTAGATGTTTTTGGTATTTGTCTTTATAAGGTGATCATATTATTGTATTTGTATTCTAGTGAATTATGGAGGCAATTAAAACCTACATTTTCAAAGTTAAAAATAAATCTTGCTAATATGATTACAATTATTTTTGGTCTGCATGCTATTTGTGGATGGACCATCAATTTCATCTAGAATCATTACTTTACTATTAACTCCAAAGATTTCCATCTACATTTCCAAAATCTTTTTCTCTCAACCTCATTTGTTCACCATTAGTTTTTAAGGTTCCCTTGACTACTTTTAACCCTATTTAAAGTCATGAGGTCTATTTGACTTCAAAGCACTTGACAGATGTTCTATTTCCAAATGTAAGCAGCTACTTAAATTGTTCAGACCACAGGCTTATTTGAATTTCTATTTATTGCACAATTTTTGTGACCTTAAGTAAAATAGGAAACACTCCAATTTTTAAGCCTATAATTAAAAAAGCAAAGGGAAATAGTGAAACAGAGCAATGGATATTTAGCACCAATACTCTTCCTAGTTTGCAAAAATCAGGTTCTTTCTATCTGTTTGACATCCTGGACTCAATTCTCTTTTCATTCTCAGTAGCACATTGGTTAGTCCCTCCTAAAATCTACATTTCACATTGTCTTTGCTTTTTTTTAATTTAAAGCCATTATAGTTAACAACAATAAAAATTTGCTTTCATCCCCTTGTTTCTGACTTGCTTCCATTCAATTTCTTTTTCAAATTTCTTCTGAAATTCATTTGAGACTAATATTCAGATGTTAGTTCCTTTATACTATTTAATTTGATTTGCAAGCAAGATGATATAAATATAGAAGGTGGGTTTATTAAATGTGAAAATAAAAATGAAAATGTTATGTTTTATAATTATCCTACAGAAGATAATAGCTGACTATGATGTTAGATCAAGGTTAATAGGATTAAAAATCCTAGCATTATTTATTTTCACAAAGCAAATAAATATCTCTTTCTGGTTTTGGCACTTTGGGTTTAATTCTTTAAGCTCTGAATACCAAATTAAATTATCAAACAAAACAAATACGTAAATAGTGGAATGTACCAACAAATATAATAAAGCAGACAAACTTAGAAGATATCAACTTTGCAAGAGATATTCAAATTTATGATTTTCAGCTATTCATTAGGCAGAGAAGATGCTGGCTAAATGCATTGAAGTTCCCTTAATGCAAAATTTATTTTTTTATGATATAAAGTGGAGCAAGCTCCATTGGAATTCATTGACTCTCCTAGTTCATAGTGCAGATCTCAAGGCAAGTACAGAGCATTGACGTTCAAATGTGAGTGTTTTCTAGCTCCTTTTTGCTTTCCCTGGAAAGCAGGACACTACTGCTCTAAATAACAAACAAATATATATATTTACATAGGCAAAATGTTGTTTCATTGCATAATAACTGGGGCAGGGATTGTTTAACCACAGCTCTACCTCAGCTTCAGATTTCCAATAATAAGCAAATACTGATGCAAGTGGATTTTCTGAGCCTTCTCAAAGAGACAGTCATTCAAAAGAGCTGAGTTTGAGGAATGTCAGACACTCTGTCCCTGCTGAGAATGAAAGCCAAGGTAAAGGGAGAGCTAGGGGATGGTAACACATGACAAAATAACTTGAGAAAGTGAAGATAGCAGTGAAAGTGAATAACAAATTGGATACTGTCTACAAGCCAATAATTAAATATACATGGCCCATACAAAGAAGTGCACCACGCTTTCTTAGCTCTTGACTGAAAACCGAAAACCTGAGTAGTAAGTAGTACTGGCAGTACTAAAATGTTAGTACTAAAATGTCATCGCGG